TCTGAGATAACAAGGTGTAGAGCTGGATGAACACAGCAGGCCAAGCAAAAATCTGAAGAAGGGTCCAGACCCGAAAAGTCAGCTTTCCTGCTCCTCTGATGCTGCTTGGCCTGCTGTGTTCATCCAGCTCTACACCTTGTTATCTAAGATACTGAGAGTAATGTTTTGGATGAGTTTCAACTTTGGACGAAGTGGAGGATGGAAAAGCATTGGAATAAACGAGTCAGGCAGCAGAATGACAGAATCCCTTGCAAGATGGTTTTAGAAGGCACCGACTATCAGGTCCAGATATGAGAATCACATCTTCAGATGCCTGAGGGCATAGTCATAATTCGTGGCACTGGTTGTATTGCCTTTTTCTGGGGCTCCCAGTAAGGCGACAGCTGCCAAATCTTCATGTGAAAACCTTTGTCGCCTGTATTCCAGCACATTTCGGATGTTGAGTGATGATTTGAGGTGGCATAGTTACCCTAGGAGAACATAGAACATTACAGCACAGGAACAAGCCCTTCGGCCTGTGATGTTGTGCCGAACACGATGCCAAATTAGACTAATCCCATCTGCCTGCCTTTGCTCCATATCCCTCCATTCTTTGCATATTCATGACCTTATCTAAAAGTCCCTCAAACGCCTCTATTGTATCTGCCTCCACCACCGCCCCAGCAGTATATATCAGACTCCTACCACTGTTTGTGTAAAAAACTTGCCCGTCACATATCCTTTGAACTTTCTCTCTCCCTCTCACCTTAAATGCGTGTCCCCTAGTATTAGATATTTCAACTCTGTGAAGAAGATTCTATCAACCCTATCTATGCATCTCATATTTTTATAGACTTCTATCAAGTCTTCCCTCAGCCTCCGCCACTAATTTACAACTTGAATTTACCCATATGTTTTCCCATTCGAGGGTTGCCCACAAACTTCAGCTCCTTTTATGTAAATGTGTAAAGCCTTTCTTTTGTTCTTGTTCCAAGTAAATTCTCCATGTTGGCCTTGATTTCTGTCCCATAGAATTGGCAGAAATTATATCCCAACTATCTATAAATATAATTTGTGCCTACTTGTTAATTACAAGCATAAATAAATGGCCACATTATTTGTACAGACACTGCATACAGACTGCAGCCTGTAATACTGGCTTTTCAATTCTGGTAAAATTATCTTTGGAAAAACAAGATAGCTGATAAAACGAAGATAAGCTATGTCACTGGGAATTCATTTCCTGCTTCCGTTGCGATGGATGCTGTATTAATGTTTGACGTGAGAGTCTTGGGTCCAAGGTATATCTCAACCTCGTAAGCTCCTGATTAGGGTGGTTGTGTCCTTCCCAGAACTCTTCTGTCAATGAGAAGCTGTTTCCACTGACAGTTCAGCCTCCCCATGTTCATCCCCCTGTCGCCCAATGGAATATTTCCCACGTCCCCCAATTTCAACCGTCCTCTTCACCTCTTCACTGCACCCTATCAGGTTGCCCCCAGCAAAAATACAGCCACCTCCTTGGCCCATGTGAAGCATCAGCAGCGGCCTACACTCCTCCTCAGTGCTTTGACAGAGGAAGGAATTACTTTGCATCATCCCTAACTGAAAAAAACTTTAGTTGAAAATGACCACATACAGTATTATTTTAATTCTATTCAGCATGACAACACATAAGGTGGCAAGCTGTGTGTGAGTAACCTGCATTGCAGTGACATCTTTCCACACCTCCTTGCCAACATAGTGATTGATGAAGGAGATGATGAGGTTTGTAGGTTGATAACTCATCTCTATCTCTTCTGTAAAATTACATCAGTAGAATGCTTTCAAAGTTCTGAAAAAAAATGCTTCACAAGAGCTGAATTGTCTGATGCAGGAGATATATACTTATGGTCAACACACATTTGTCAAAATGAAGATCATTTTAAGCAAGGTTATGACTTAGTTGGTTGTTAGTGTGTTGAATATGACTACTTTGATAATCTACACACTCACAGTGTCTACTTCACACTGATTTATCAGTGACAAGCCAGATGCTACTCTGTGGGAAAGCAGCTGAAGAACTGCAGAGTCAGGCATTGCAGTCGCTGTTCCCTCAGCTCCTCCAACAGTGCATTGCATAATATGCTTTTTTTAAAATTATTCATTCAGACGATGTGGGCTTTGCTGGTAGGGCCAACATTTATTGCCCATCTCTAGTTAACCTTGAAAAAAATGGTAGTGAACTGCTTTCTTAAAATGATGCAGTCTATTTGCTCAAGGTAGACACATAGTGCTGTAAAGGAGGGAGGTCCAGGATTTGGACTCATTGACAGTGAAGGAACTTTCAAGGATGGTAAGTGTCTTAGAAGGAGACTTGTCAATGCTGATGTTCACGTATATTTGCTGCCCTTGTCCTACTAGGTAGTGGTGGTTCTGGGTGTTGGAAGGTGCTGTCTAAGAAGGCTTGGTGAATTTCTGCAGTGCATCTTGTAGGTGGCACAGCTGCGACTGCATGTTGGTGGTGGAGCTAGTAATTATTGGTGTGGTGCCAGTCAAGCAGGCTGCTTTGTCTTGGATGGTGTCAAACTTCTTGAGTTTTTTTGGAGCTGCACTCATCCAGGCAAGTGGGGAGTATTCCATCACGCTCCTGACTTGTTTCTTGTAGATGGTGGGCAGGATTTGGGGAGTCAGGAAGTGAGTTACTCAGTACAGGATTCCTAACCTCTGACCTGTTCTTGTAGCCACTGTACTTATATGGATTGTCCAGCTCAGTTTCTTGTCAATCATAACCCTTGAAGTTGTTGATGGGGGTCGGGGGAGGGTTTCAGTCATGATTATGCTATTGAATGTTAAGGGGCAATTGTTAGATTGTCTTGTTGAAGATGGGCATGTGCACCACACAGGTGCCAGGCTATGTTACTTATCAGCTTAAGCCTGAATGTTGTTCAAGTTTTGCTGCCTTTGGACATAGATGGCTTCAGTGTCTGATGCTGAACATTATGCATTCATCAGCGAACATTCCCATTTCTGACCTTATGGTCACTGATGAAACTGCTGAAGATGGTTGGGCCTAGGACACTACCCTGAGAAACTGCTGCAGAGATATCCTGGCGCTGAGATGATTGACCTCCAATGACAACTACTTTCCTTTGTGCCAGGTATGACTCCCACCAGCAGACAGATTTCTGTCCATATAAGAATCGTAGATATATAAAGTTCAACTACCAAAAATACACCTCTACCTATACTCGTCCCACTTTCTCACACTAGGCCCATAGCTTCAAATGTTATGACACTTTAAGTACTCATCCAAGTACTTTTTAAAGTTTGTAAGGTTTCCCATCTTAACTACTCTCGCAGGCAATGCATTCCAGAATCCCACCACCCTCTGGGTTTAAAAGGTTTTCCTCAACTCCCCTTTAAACCTCCTGCCTTTTGCTTTAAAATTACAGCCACTTGTTATTGATCCTTCAACTAAGGGAGTCAGCTGCTTTCTATTCACTGATAATCTTTTGCACTGATAGCAGGTCCTCCCTTAACCTTCTCTGCTCCAAAGAAAACAACCCAAACTTATCCAGCCTCTCTTCACAGCTCAAATGCTCCAACCCAGGCAACATCCTGATGAATCTCTTTTATAGTCCCTTCTGTGGAATCATATCTTTCTCATAATGTGACAACCAGAAATGCATACAGTATTCCAGCTGTGGCCTAACTAAAGTTCTGAACAGCACCAACACGACCTCCCTGATTCTATAATATATCCCACATCTGATAAAGACAAGCGAGCCTAATGCCTTCTTATCTACCTTATTAACCTGTCCTGCCATCTTCTATGGATAAGCACCCCAAGATCCTACTCTAAGAGGCGGCACGGTGACTCAGTGGTTAGCACTGTTCCCTCACAGTGCCAGTGACCCAGGTTCAATTCCAGTCTCGGGTGACTGTCTGTGTATAGTTTGTACATTCTCCCTGTGTCTGTGTGGGTTTCCTCTGGTGCTCTGGTTTTCTCCCATGGTCCAAAGATGTGCAGGTTAGGTGAATTGGCCATGCTAAGTTGCCCAGAGTGACCAGGAATGTGCAGGCTAAATGGATTAGTCATGGGAAAATGCAGGGTTAGAGGTGTAGGGTTGGGCGATGGATCTGGGTGAGATGGTCTTTAAAGGGTTGGGTTGGACATAATGGGTCAAGTGACCTACTTCTACACTGTAGGATTCAATGATAAGATCTCTGAGCTTCTCTTCTGATCCTCTGAGCTTCTCAGCGTTTTGCCATTTATTTGAGTACTCCCTTGTCTTGTTCCTTCTTCCAATCACTTCAAATTTACCAGGTTTAAATTCCATCTGCCGCTGATCTGCCTATCTGACCAATCTGTTTATCTGGTTCTGTAACCTAACAGCTTCCTCCTCACTGTCAATCACCCGGACAGTCTTTATGTCATCTACAAACTTGCTTATAACCCCTCCCACATTCTCATCTACATCGTTTATGAATATCATTACCAATAAGGAACCCAAAGCTGATCCCTGATGTATGCCACTGCATACCCAGCTCCAGTGTGACAAATAGTCTTCTATTGTGACCT